AGACCTGAAATCGTGAAGTTAGAACGAGGAAGAGTGACTGCAAAATTATGGGAAAGGATTTCAACAGATGATCACCAGTTCTGAGAAGCACAAGGCTCACAGGACCAACATGACACTCCTGCATAAACGGAGGGGATGGCTTGATTTTAGATGCACTGTTTTCTCTTTGAGGTCCAGGGAATAACATATCCATTAAAACCAAGGTGCCAAAAGAGTTAACCTAATATAATCCAAGCATCTGCCTTCCTTCTGCCTGAGAAGGTAGGATCAAACTGATCAAGCTAGCAGGCCTTCCTATGAAATAATTACTTGTGCTTTCAAAAGTCTCAGGAGTGGGCCGGGCGCGGTGGCTCAAGCCTGTAATCCCAGCACTTTGGGAGGCCGAGGCGGGTGGATCACAAGGTCAAGAGATCGAGACCATCCTGGTCAACACGGTGAAACCCCGTCTCTACTAAAACTACAAAAAACTTAGCTGGGCATGGTGGCGCGTGTCTGTAGTCCCAGCTACTCAGGAGGCTGAGGCAGGGGAATTGCCTGAACTCAGGAGGCGGAGGTTGCGGTGAGCCGAGATCGCGCCATTGCACTCCAGCCTGGGTAACAAAAACGAAACACCGCCTCAAAAAAAAAAAAAAAAAAAAAAAAAAAAAAAAAAAAGTCTCAGGAGTCCCTGGGTCTCTTAATGAGGAACTGAATATTAAATCACACTCGAGAACCCAGGGTCCAGTTGAGATTGTGCAGCTGATTTCTCATAGCACTGGTATTTCTTTTTCTACATGTTCTGAACAACAACAAGATATGTTAAAGATCTTTTGCAGCTTATAAAACCAAAGATTTGATTTGGAATCAGTGCCCTGTTCGACTCGAGTAGAGCACTGGCTCCAAAGAGGGAGTTCCACCAGCTTCTGTTCACTTTACTTCCACCCTCAGGCCCTTCCAAGAGGACCTAACTCAACCAGAAACCAGGTTAACGACTGGAAGACTCTGAACGCCTGCCACATTGTGTGTGTGTGTGTGTGTGTGTGTGTGTGTGTGTGTGTGTGTGTGTGTGTGTGTGTGTGTGTGTGTCAGGAGTAGAGATTAGCAGTGTCAAAATTTACTCCTGACATTTGTTCAAGAATAAGGTGGACTTTGTTCAGGACCACTGAGCTAAGTCTAGGGGCCACTGCAGTGTGTCCGGCAGGTGGAGAGGAAGGTCGGGCTCACTTCCCAATAAAACAAGGAAAAGTGGGAACTTATAGCACAAGAGTAGAGTGTGTTTATGTTGGAGGTAGGGGAGGTCAGTCAACAGAAAAATGACTAGGAGGTAACCTCAAGAGTAAGGGAGGCTCCTGTCTAAACTGACCTAACCTTGCTTTTGCTGAAGACAGGCCACAGTGATCAGACATCACCTGGCAGATGGTAAATGAGGAATCTGAACAGATATTGAGGGCAATCAGGTATCCAGGGTTGGGGGTTCTGGTCCAAATGACTTTGCAGGGTTCTTGCTAGAAGTTTGCAATGCAGAGATGAACACTGATACCCAAAGGTCAGGCCCCGATTGAGAAGTGAGTTCAGAAAGGCCTGATTAGAGTTTGGTCAAGGAGAGACCCTTTGTCATCAGGCCTTATGCAGAACGCAAGTGTCCTTAAGAAAGGAATTGAGCTAATTAATTACAGTGCTCAAGGAGTCACCACTAGACTCTCAATTCTTTGCTCCCATAAGCACAGAGTACACCTTTCAAAGCATCCGAGTTGTTAAGCAATGAATTCTTCAGCACCTGCTCACCACTATTTATTTTGTTTCAACGGACTTCTCTTTGTGACTAGTAATTGATTAAGTTACACAAAATCAAATTTCTGCAGCTCCCTCAGGTTTTTTCCCCTTCTCTTTTCATTTCTGACTGTGGTCCTGCCAAGCCCCTGGGGGTGGAAGGCTGGCTCAGGGCATCATCCATCAACCTGTGAGATGAGAGTGGACCAACACAGAGTGGATGGGCTCCCAGACACCAAACAGAACCTGGTAGGACTGAAGCCACCACTTGGGAAAATCACAGAGACTCAAGGCACCACACTTGTGTGTGTACATACAGACACACACACACACACACACGTGCAAAGGGGCAGAACTGCCATTCCTTTGTAAGTGTTCAATTTCTTATCAGAAATGGGTCTTAGGCTGGGTGCAGTCGCTCACCCCTGTAATCCCAGCACTTTGGGAGGCTGAGGCGGGTGAATCACCTGAGGTAGGGAGTTCGAGAACAGCCTGACCAATGTGGAGAAACCCCGTCTGTACTAAAAATACAAAATTAGCCGGGCGTGATGGCGCATGCCATGAGCCCAGGAGGTGGAGGTTGCGGTGAGCTGTGATCACGCCACTGCACTCCCACCTGAGCAACAAGAGCGAGACTCTGTCTCAAAAAAACAAACAAATAATAAAAAAAAAAAACTTAGTGAACTATTCTACCTTGCTTAGATTTCAGTTTCTTAGGCATACGTACACTCCTAAATTCTACGTATGGCTTAAACACCTCCATCAGGCTTAAAATAGATCAGCATTAAAAAAATCCTGTTAATTCCATCGTTTACATTACACTCCCCCACTAACAGACCGAAGCATGAATGGTGTTAATCAAATAGTACTTTCAAGATAAAATGATTAAGATTTCCGCATGATACCAGATATATATATTTTCTTTCTATGAAAAATTTTTTTAATTTATATAGTGACTTTGGTTAAACATCTCTTTTAGGAATAATGTTAACTAGAGAAGTGGCTCATGCCTGCTCATTTTCGGCTTGTCTTTTGGGAGAACTGGGTATGACAGGACTGGGCCTGTACTGGGAAGAACTCTTCCCTGACTGAAAGGGTCGCACGTGGAACAGCATGGATCAGTTGGATCCCAGCTGCCTCTTTTGACCTCTGTTACTTTTCTTCTTTGGCCTCATCTGAAACATCTAAAATTTAAATCCTTTAGAACAAAAATGGCAGGACTGAAAACAGTTGTGATTTCAGAGACAGGAATGCTGTTCTACCCCCCAGAATGTTTCCTGCTAGGTGAAAGGTGACCCAAATCCCCCGTTAGACGCATTTCCCTTCACTGCTTTCAAACATGGATGGTTTAAACGCAAATATCCATAGAGGAGATCATACAAATCCTGTTCATTCGTTTGCAGTGATAACTTAGTCCTCTCACTCACAGGCATCTCAGAGGCTGCGTTTGTCACGGCCTTTCCTAAAAGCTGGTTTTGGAGGAGAGAAAATACAGGAAGCCATAGGCTCTGGCCTCCTCCCGGCCACCCTCCCCATCGGGGAGGCACCACGTGTGCACTTCACAGAATTCTAGGGCTCAAGCTTGAGGAAAATGCCACCCACCCAATTTCTGGGGATCCAGAAGAAGGACACAAAGGTAGAGCAGCCTTCCTTATGCATTCCAAGAAAAGGAAAAGAAAGACAATTTACAGCAGAGAGAATCAAAATTACAGCACTCCATTGTGATATGGAGGACCAGATTTTTTTTTTAACTCTCTTTGCTCTTCTTGCTCTTTTACCCTGAAGCTGACTCACGAAACTGCTTTAATATTTAGTAGTTTGGCTCCTGTTTTGTTCATAGCTAAGGACTACCCTGAAGTTCCCATAAGAATTCGTAAATCAGGGAAATAAAACTGTCCTCCCAATTTGACCCAGAGATCAGCACACAGGAGGGCAACGAGGGCCTCAAAACACATGAAGCAGCCTCCATTCCATCTGTGAAGGAGAGGCTGGGGATTTAGTTTCCAGTTAGGCAATGGGGTCCAGCTTTATGTAAAACTATGCTGCGTGAGCATTTTAACAATTTGACTAGCGCCAGTAACAAACCCAAGAAAACAGAGTGGTGTCACACCAAAGAAAGGGAAGCCCAAAACCAGAGTGAGAGCAGAACCACGTGGCAGCTGGGACAGGACTGTCTCCAGATGGACCCGCTCAATCCTTTGTGATTTTTGTCTTCACCAACCACAGCCGCACCCTCGTTATGACCTGGCCTCTCAGGAGGCTGAGTGCAGGAAGCGAATGAGCTGGCCGTCCGGACTGCTATGCTTAGGCTCCTGACAATTTCTTACTCTAAATTAAATGGTTCACATTCTCGTGCCTCCTTCACGCTCCCGGCAATGTTGTTTTCCTGGCCTTAAGCAAGCAGGGTGTTGCCCACGCACCTGACGGCAGCCTGCGGGCAAAATGCTGGCAACAGCCTGTCCAGGTCCCTGGCTCTCCCATGCTTCTCTGGGAATCTTATTGTACGAGCGAGCACAAGAAAGAGGGAAAGAGAAAGCCAGAGGGAGAAAGAGAGCAACACAGGGAGACAGAAAGTGAGACTGAGAGAGGCAAGGGGAGGGGGAGAGAGAGACAGAGACGAAGAATGAGAGGGAAGGCCACAGCAACGGAAAGAGCAGCAGCAAGAGGGATTCTAAAGGAAGTGTGGGTGGATCGGCCCGAGATGACGTGGCGCCCCAGCCACCCATGAAGGCGACTTCTGAAGGGCAGCCAGGTACACACGGGGAAGCTGCTGTCCTGGAGCCCAGGCTGCTGCGGGCAAAAAGGCAGCTGGGGGCCAGGGCTCCTCTGTCCCAGATGAAAGTGCACCTCACTGAGGCCGGGTTCAGTTCCAGAACCAGAGGAACCCCGTGATTGTCACTGTTAATAGGAACCTATGAAATGTTAGTGTGAGTTTCTACGGAGAATGAGGCAAACCTCAACTACAGTACGGAGACATACTGGGCGAGCTCAAGGGACACTGTTTTCTGCGGACCCCCACAGGGCAGGGTCGCTCTAGGCAGGTCTCTAGGAATAGGAGGCCTGGGGCCTGCAGAAACACCTCCAGCATCCACCCCACTTGGCACGCACATGTTCTCCATCGTTGGTGATGAAACCAGCACTTCCATCGTACCTATGGGACGTGAGGTGTAGGTTGTTGTCTTAGCTGAATGTGTAAAATCAAAATAAAAACATTAAGTCTTTTTATGGGACGGTCCCCCGTCCTCTGGTACTTCCTTCTCAGCCCCTCACTCACTGAGCCACGTGGCTACGGTGTCCACTGAGATCCGTTTCTGACCTCCTCAGGGTGAGCACAGGCTGGCATCAACCTTTCTAAAATATCCTCCCGGAATGTTCAGAACAAAACAGTGAGAATCACACTCACCTGCTCTTGAGAAGTCACACGTACATACTAGCATTTCGCTCTGATCCCGCCACACGCGCTCCTCTATGATGTGGTGTCCATTACACATTCACATACAAACCCAGATATTTATCCCCACCTCACCCACCTCCCATTTTCAAGGTCAGGTTGACTGTTTGTTTTGGAAAGGAAATCATTTTTGATGATCACAACATTTTAAGTTAAATAATGTCTAATAGAGTAGAGTAGAGAATATTAGAACCACCCAGCACCAGAAACAGTTCCCTCCACAAAAGCCCAGAGCCAATCTCACTGCTTCCAGAAAGCTTCGGGAAGAATCAGGCTGCTCCAGTGAGCAGGGCAGGCTGCTCTTCCCTGGGTCAGACAAAAAGCTACATCCTGAGGCTGAGACCCACTGGACCCACAGCATAAATCTAACTCCTGGCTCCCTGAGGCACTTGTCCGTCATATGTGGAGAGAGTTATCCCTGATCTGTGGCCAGCTTATTCTACAGGTTGCCTTTCTTAGCAGCTTCCCTCTCTTTCTTTCATAACCTGGTGTGGTAGTTAATTTCATGTGTCATTGATTTTGTTGGGTAGGCTGTAGCACCCAGATGTTTGCTGAAACACGAGTCTAGACGTTGCTGTGGAGCCACATGTCCAACGGGATTCACAGTTAAATCAACAGACTGTGAGTGGGGCACATTCCCCTCCACGATGAAGGGGAGCCTTGTCCAATCAGCTGAAGGTCCTGAAGAAGGCCGAGGTCCTCCCAGGAGGAAGACTGCCTGAGGCCAGAGCTGCAGCAGCAGCTGTCTCCTGGGTCTCTAGCCTGCCGGCCTGCCCAGCAGATTTCAGAACTGCCCGCCTTCCCAATTGTGTGAGCCAACTCCTCAAACCAAATATGGCTCTGCATACGTCCTATAGGTAGTCTTTCCTGCAGGGGGCTGACAGGTGGTTTTCAGGTACTTTACCATCTGGCTCCCTTCCTAACACTGCTAGCAAAGTGAATCCCCACCTTGGAAGACCCAGCCCCTAGCCCTCCCTTGCCCACACTGTATATCCTACACCATGGGTGCCCTACGGCCTTGTTATGAAATGGACTTTCTCGCTGTAACAAATTCTATTGTAGTCAAAAATGACATATGGGAACACTGTTCAGTAGGCCTCATGGCATAGGGGATGCTTGCCTTTGAGAGTAAAAATTCCCAAACTTGTTCTTCTCTTCATTTACCACATGATTAAAAGCAAAGGCGTGGCAGTCAGATTGACCGCGGCGTCAACCATTTACAAGGCAGCTAACCTTTGTTAGCTCCTGATCTACAGGATTGGATATGAGAAATGAAAGTAGGCATGAGCATTACGAGCAACATCATCACTGAGAGATAGACTGCTTTAAACGGTGGCAGAAGTGGGTGGAGAATGCAGCATCCTCCCTTTGTGAGGCCCCATACAGGGTCTGTCATCAAACTTAGGTCCAGGAGCACCACATTCTTCTTGAATAACTATCCTGTGTCCTTTATGCTGCTTGCTTGAAAAAGGGAAGCAAACCTCTGTCCTTCTTGCAATTGTGGCAGCAATGAATGCCCGCATTTTTTTAAGACTAACCCTCCTCATGGCTTTATATTACTTTGTTCTAATTCTTTTCCTTTAGGCCTGATTTCAAATATCTTCCTTTTAAAAATCGTACTGCTCATTATGTATTTTGGAGCTGCCTTCAGTCTTTTGGATGTAACACAAAATAAACAAACCAACCAACCAGCGGCATTTCTAATATTAGAAATGGATGCAATCATCCTGGATTCCTTCCTCATTTCATTCAGAACTTAGACTCAAAATGAGTTAAGGTGAAGGGATGATATATTTGCCTTCCATTTCCTTCCTCGGGGAAAAAAAAAATCAATGCAAACTTTTAAATGCCTATTACTTTCCCTCAAAATCAGATTATTAAAAACATAAATAATATCCAACCTGATACTCTGCCCCCCAGTATGGGAAAGAGGAAGCTGCCAGAACCCAGAAGCTGCCCCTGACCATGATGTGGTCCGCTCATGTGTGTCCGTGATAAGGGATGCAAAGTCAGAACACTCAGAAACGTCCCTTTGTCCATCCTCCAATGGGCTGTGGATCACTGTCCATCTCTACATTTTTAAGAATTGAGACAATTTTCCATGTTACAAAACAGAAACCATACGTTTATGTTGGTTCTAATCAATGCCAGGTATCCCCAGGCCTTGCAACTTGGAAATGCATTTTTGGTGACGTAAAAGAATGGCCAGGTGCAGTGGCTCATGCCTATAATCCAGCACTTCAGAAGGCCAAGGTGGCGGAAGAGCTTGAGGACAGGAGTTTGATGCCAGCCTGGGAAACACAGCAAGATCCTGACCTTACAAAAAAATTGTTTTAAATAAAAATTAGCCAGGCATGGTGGCACATGCCTCTAGTCCCAGCTACTTGGGCAGTGGAGGTGGGAGGTGGGCGGATCACGAGGTCAGGAGTTTGAGACCAGCCTGACCAACATGGTGAAACCCTGTCTCTACTGAAAAAATACAAAAATTAGCCAGGCATGGTGGTGCCTGCCTGTAGTTCCAGCTACTCAGGAGGCTGAGGCAGGAGAATTGCTTCAATATTCAATATATATATTGATATTGAATATATCAATTCAATATATCAGCCAATATTGTGCCACTGCATTCCAGCCTGGGCGACAGAGCAAGACTCCGCTTAAAAAAAGAAAAGAAAAGAAAAGAAATAATGATGGATTTGTACCAACTCAGGGACCACACTCCCTCATGCCTGGAGGCTAGCAACATTACACAATGAGGTAGGAGGACTTGAGGCTCTGAAAAGACATCCCCTACCCTCCATGCACTGGGAGCATTGCCCCTCAGTTCAAGGCCATCACTGCCCTGCAAATATACCCATCAGCCTCCCAGAACACTTGGCAAGCTGGGGGCACAGCCAGCCAGCCAGCCTACAGCCCGAAGAGCGGCTGATCTCACAGTGCCAGGAGCTCATGCAGCTGTGGCCTGAATGGCTGTTGGCCACCAGAGAGTGCTGCCTGCAACTGCCCCCAGCAGTGGGCTCGCTGGGTTCTAGGAACAAACCCAGCAAAGGTTTGGGAATGAGGGCCTGCACTCGGCCTCTGCTTCAACAGACTGCCCACCCCAGTGAGGTGAGAGCTGCTTATAAAAAATTCTTGCATCCATAATGCTGCCAGCTGCCAGTGTTGGATGCTGGTGTCATACAGACTCTAAACACTCTTTTATCAGGCCTCTATTATAAAATAATAAAAACATTTATAATATATGTTTAAGAGAATTGATATAATCAATACATTGTATTATTACAAAAGAATAAACAGCCTATGTGAGCCGGAAGTTCTTCTAAGGTGTCCAAGGGTCAATTTTAATTCAAGACTAGGCACTTACCTGGAGTTTCAAAGCTCCCTACCACTAGGTTTCCCGGTAGGAAGCGGCTCATTGCTGGGTGGGGTGGGGTAGGGAATGAGGCCTACCCAGTTGGTCTGTTCTTTGCTCCATCACCAGCCCCTAGCCCAGTTCTAATATATGATAAACGCTTTAAGGGGGTGACGAATGAATGAATGGATGAGACTGACACCTTTCCATTGACCTCTACGTGCAGACACGATTGTCTTAGCAGAGAAGACGCAAGCGAAGCTGACCTATGTGAGAAGTCGGTCTGCTGGAAGACAGGAGGAAACCCCATATACATCGTGAGTTTAGAGCTGAAAACACTTTTATGGCTTTTCCACCAAATGCTCAGGGGAGGGGGGAACAAAGCACAAACAACGTGTTAGCAGCTCTGAAACTCTACAGGATTTTACACTTACGAGTGGGGACCTGGCTTGTGGAAAAGGAGAAAATGGTAGGAAGAATGTCTCCAATCAGAGGACTGGAGACCTCTCTAGGGAGCTGTGGAGGTCGCTGTGACGTTTTCATAACTGACCTAGAAGGGGGAAGGCACGAATCCACTTCTGGGTGTTCAGGTGCTGCTGAGTTATTATAAGGAATATAACACTTTCCCTTCCTCCAAGGAACGGGAAAAACCACAGCGGAACTTTTGGAAGTGAGATTTAGGTGTTAAGACTGACAGCAAGAGGTGCTTCAGGGTTGCACGGTTAGGTTAATACACTTACCAAATGAACAGCTCCACGCTCTCATTTTGAAACCTAGGAAGGGGGTGAGGAATACTCTCAGGACGTCCCCTGAAGACCCTAACGTTTCCTTCAGTCCGAAACTTACACAGAAGGCTGGATCCAACCAGAAGGATGGGAATTGACACTGAGGAGACAAGAGGGGTACCCGCACACTGCTACCTGTACCTGGATGCAGGGTGGAAGTCTGATGGCCACAGGTAGGGACGGGGAAATGCAGCTGAAGGCAGTCCGTCCAGGTGAGAAGAAATGATGAAGAGTATGAGAGAAATGTTCACATATGGGAAGAAAATGCACCGGAATGCGGCAGTGTGAACCACTGTAATTTCTTTCGATTACCTTTCCTTTGCATTCACAACTTGGCTGCAAGAAGCCTGGTGTCGGCCTGTCTTGGCTTTCGGCGTGCCTTTCTCACTAAGCTTAGCCATTTCCAGCTTCTGATTTACAGTGAGGGGCATGCATCTCCTCCTTGCACTTGAACACTTACAGGCCATTGTAGGGTTATTAACTGGCCTGTTTCCAATAGGAAATAGGCTCTCGGGGTGAGGAAGGAGACCTAAGCATCTAAGACCACCTTCCCCTTGACTTCCACACTGCACCTCAGTAGGAGAGGTGAAGGCTGGCGGACCGGGTGCCACCTTAAACACCCTCCTATAGATCGTAGGCATGGTGTGGGGGAATATTTCCAGAAGGCATTGTTTCCACTTAAACAGGACCAAACCCCCACCACACGCCTACTTCACGGGTCAAGACCCTTTTACATGTAATTTCCGGAGTTGTAAGCCCAAGACCCTTACACATGTGATTTCTAGAGTTGTGAGCCTTTAAAAGGGCAGGGACTTTGTGAGCTGAGCTTGGCTGTCAGGTTACTATGCCACCTTGCTCCCGACGGAATAAATCACCACTTCCTTCTCAGCTCAGTGTTCAAGAGGTTTGTTTCTCAGCCTTTCCTGCTTCAGGGGGATAGGAGCAGTCAGAACACACAAGACACTGATGGACTAAGCTCGTATCTTCTGTGGACCCTGTTCATGATGCCCCCAAACAATTACAGTGGTAACATCAGGGATCACTAATCACAGGCCACCATGACAGGCAGAGTAATAGCAGAAAAGTTTCAGACATTGCAAGAATTACCAACATGTGACAGGGACACACTAAATGCCAAAGGCTGTTGAAAAACCGAGGCTGATCGCCTCTCTGGGCGCAGGGCTGCCACAAACCTTCAGTTTGTAAAAAACACTGCATCTGGCTGGGCGCGGTGGCTCAAGCCTGTAATCCCGGCACTTTGGAAGGCCGAGGCAGATGGATCACAAGTTCAGGAGTTTGAAACCAGCAGCCTGGCCAACATAGAGAAATGCCGTCTCTTAAAAAAAAAAAAAAAAAAAAATATATATATATATATATATATGAAAAGCAAATGACCAATTAACCTCACTGAAAATCAAATACATGCAAATAAAAATAGTAAAAGAAACTTTGAAACACACACACACACACAAAACATCTAAAGTGAAGTGTGATAAGGTGAGATGTGCCTGCACTGTGCCTCCTCCTTTCCTCAGGGACAGATGACGATGAAGCGTGGCCTGCACACCTTTTCCCGCAGGTCCTGTGGGATGAGGCTCCAGGCCGGGGCTTTTGTGGCTGCCCTCCTGCCTGGGTCTCTGCCAGCACTCAGGGCCCTCTCAGCTTGCTTCTCAGGGTGTGCTTACAGGGGAGCCAACTAAGGCCATTCTTAGCAGAGCTGAGGATCTTGCAACACAGAGGCTAAGGCATCCCCCCACGAGATGGAGCTGGTGACAGAGGAATGGAGCCATGAATGACTGATGATCAGAATGCCAGAAGACACAAAGACAGGATCCAAGTCTATAAAAGCACAATTTCCAAGGGAAAAGAGAATTTGGGTTTCTTTTCTATATTTCTGAACATACTTGACCAAGTATTTGTGTTATGTGTAACCCCCTATATAAGTATAAAAAGATATAATTTAGAAAAAAAAATGATACACTGTTAGGTAACAAACAGATGGGTGACCTCAAAAAGTAATGCAGGAGGAAAAGAAATAATTAGATTCAAGATTACTTTCAATACATTTATGAAACAGTTTATTCAAAGTAAATTATAAAGAGATCCAGTGATAATAAGAGTGGCCTCTGATTTGTCAAAGTGATGGCTATAAAGACCCACAAATGTGCAGCCTGTGGCAGGAAATCTGAACTCATCTCAGTAGGTAACGTGGTCTTTTTTTTTTCCCTAGAGACAGGGTCTCACTCTGTCACCCAAGCTGTAGTACAGTGATGCAAACAGAGCTCACTGCAGCCTTGGACTCCTGGGTTCAGGTGACCTTCCTGCTTCAGCCTTCCCAAGTAGCTAAGATAAAAGGTGTGCACCACCAATCCCGGTTAAATTTTTAAATTAAAAAAATTTTTTTGTACAGAGGGATCTCGCTATGTTGCTCAGGTTGGTCTTGAATTCCTGGCCTCAGACTATCTTCCCTCAGCCTCCTAGGAAGCTGGGACTACACATGTGTGCCACCACACCCGGCTAATTTATTATTTTTCCTAGAAACGTGGGGTCTTGCTATGCTACCCTGGCTGGTGTTGAACTCCTGGCCCAAGGGATCTTCCCACCTCTACCTCCCAAGTTGCTGGGATTACAGGCATGAGTCACTGTGCCCATTTCTAAGGTGGTTCTTATGTTCCTAAAAATATGAATGACTGCCATAAAAAGGACCACCAAGTATTTTGAAGAAGTACTGGAAGTAAAAATAGATTTTCAACAAATGAAGATGAGATGTCACTGGAATTTTCAGGGGGCATTCCCACCTCTTTGCTGTTGTTCAGAATATACGGTACCCTCACAAAGTGATACTGATAAATAACTAGGTGATACTGATAAATAACCAATCCACTATTATACCTAAAGCTCTAAAACTCACACAATTCCTATCAGAAGGCAATAATAAGTGCTGACAACTCAGAAACATGTAGATGGTCATACTGTGTGGCTTTCACAATTAATTTGATAATACTGTCATAGCTCATGGAAATATACCCCAGACCAAAGGATTTTCACAAAGTGAAGGTAACAGGCCAGCAGTGTTGCACTGCCTTGCCCTGACAGTGTCCCAGGGAAGTGCTGAGACAGCACGAACACAGCCTCCATAGTGTGCCAACACAGTGACGCTACTGAACCACAGGGCACCTGGCGTGGGACGCTATCCAGGAGTCGCTGTGAATCGCCAGCTTGCACAAGGTCTGCTTTGGAAGGAATATATTTGACAGAAGCTCTACCTAGAGTATGATGGTTCTCCACAAAATGGGAGTTACTGTGTCAATAGTAGCTGTATCTGGGAAAGTGCCAAG